GAGCTGTCCTGGCTTGAGGCTATCTGTACAGGGGAATATCCATTGCTAGGAGCTTGAACAAGTCCTAGTTTTAAAGAAAGACTTAAAACTGTTGGTAGTTTTCTTTCAAGTTTTTTTTTCTGGAGCCAGAGAGATAGTATAGTAGGTAAGATGCTTTCCTCACATGTGGTTGTCCCAGGCCCTATCTCCAGAATCGGAGGGTCATACCAGCACCACCAGGATTAATCCCTGAGCAAAGAGCCGGGAATAAACACTGAGTATTGCAGGCCGTGACCCCAAAACAGAACAACAAAACAACAACAAAATGGTTCAGACTTCGAATCTTCTGGACTGGCAACCGACTATCTTCTTTTTCTTATTTTTCCATATTGAATCACCGTGAGATATACTTACAAAGCTTTCATGTTTGAGTTTCAGTCATACAATGATTGAACACCCATTCCTCCTCCACCAGTGCACATTTTGCACCATCAATACTTCCAGTATCTCCCCTCCCTCATCCCAACCCTTCCCCTCCCTCCATGGCAGACAATTTCTACCATTCTCTTTCTATACTTCTGGGTATCATGGTTTGCAGTATAAATACTGAGAGGCTATCACGTTTGGTCCTTTTTCTACTTTCAGCACACATCTCCCATCCCGAACTACCCCTCCAACCACCATTGACTTAGTGATCTATTCTAGCTGCCTTCTCCCTCAGCTCATGTGGGATGAGCTTCCAACTATGGAGCAATATTCCTGGCCTTGTGTCTACTGTCCTTGTGTCTACTGTCCTATAACAGGGCTAGTGTGATAGCACAATGGGTAGGGTGTTTGCCTTCCACACGGCCAACCCGGGTTTGATTCCTCTGCCCCTCTCAAAGAGCCTGACAAGCTACCAAGAGTATCCCGCCTGCATGGCAGAGCCTGGCAAGCACCCCGTGGCATATTCGATATGCCAAACACAGTAACAAGTCTCACAATGGAGATGTTACTGGTGCCCGCTCGATCAAATTGATGAACAATGGGAGGACAGTGCTACAGTGCATATTAAGTTATTTTATATTCCACAGACAGAGCCCACATGGCAGAGCCTGGTAAGCTACCCATGGCGTATTAGATACGCCAAAAACAGTAACAATAATGGGTTCATTCCCCTGACCCTGAAAGAGCCTCCAGTACGGCAGCATTGGGAAAGACGAGTAAGGAGAGGCTGCTAAAATCTCAGGGCTGGGACAAATGGAAACATTACTGGTGTCCGCTTGAGTAAATCGATGAACAACAGGATGACAGTGATACAGTGATATATTCCACAAATGAGTGCAGTCATTCTATGTCTGTCCCTCTCTTTCTGACTCATATCACTTAGCATGATACTCTCCATGACCATCCACTTATAAGCAAGTTTCATGACTTCATCTTTCATAACAGCTGCATAGTATTCCGTTGTGTAGATATACCAAAGTTTATTTAACCAGTTGTCTGTTCTCAGGCACTCTGGTTGTTTCTAGATTCTGGCTATTGTGAACAGTGCTGCAGTGAACATACAGGTGCTTTTTTCTGCACCTTCGGGTGACTATCTCCTTTTATATTTTATCTTGGTTTAAGAAATAACCAAAACTCTTTGCCAAGGGAGCTACCCTCCTTCCCTTACCTGCTTATCTGCCTGCCTGCCTCATAAGTATCAGCTATGTGCCAAACTCTTGCTCGCTCTATCTATCTATCTATCTATCTATCTATCTATCTATCTATCTATCTTATCTATCTATCTATCATCTATTTTTTTCTTTTTGGGTCATACCCAGCGATGCACAGGGGTTATTCCTGGTTCGTGCACTCAAGAATTACTCCTGGCGTTGCTCAGGGAACGATATGGGATGCTGAGAATCAAACCCGGGTCTGCCGCATGCAAGGCAAATGCCCTACCCGCTGTGTATCATTCCAGCTCCCCAAACTCTTGTTTTAAAAACTCAGATATTGCCAGTAAAGAAAACAGAAATCTTGGGGTTTGGGTAGTATGCTTTGATGGGGACCAACCAAAAACAAAGAAGAGAAAATCTGATGGTAACAAATGCCATGGAGGAAAAAGTAAAGCAAGAAACAGGGAAAGGGATTGTTATGGAATTGCAATTTCAGCTAGAGTGCCAACAATGCAAAGCAGAAGTAACTTGAATGAAGACCTAGTGGAGATGAAGGAACTGTTCATTAGAATATCTGTGCAGAGATGATTCCAAGAAATAACACATCAAGTGATTCAGACAATTACTGGATCCCTGCTCAGCATGTTTGAGAAATAGCAAGGAAACAGGGTGGGGCAAAAGAGGACAGAGGAGATAGTCTGTTAAAATAATCCAGGCATGCAGTCAAGCAATGATGGTTGCTCGGAATCTGTGGTACACTCAGTAGATGAGCTGAGAAATCACTAGTTTCTGATAGTTTGCATATGAGATACAACATAGAACCAGGACTTTTGTTTTGGGGTCACACCTGGAAGTGTTCAGGGACCACTCCTCACCCTGTCTTTGGGCATAGCCTCTGATAATTTTGGGTGACCATGTGGTGCCAGGGATCAATTCTGGGTATCCTGCATGCAAAGTCAGAACTCAGACTGTTGTGCTGTCCCTTTGGCCTGAAAATAGGGTATGTTTGTTTGACAGGTAAAAGGATAGGATTTCCAAGGTAGGGAATATGGTAAGAGTAGAGTTGTGAGAGAAAGGTTGGAATTATATTGGAGATGTCTGTTTTTCATCAAAGTGTAAATGTCAATTAGGTAGATGTTTTATGACATATTGATTTTGACAGGAGAAACAAATAAGAACAGGTATGATATGTTGTTGAACTATGCTAAGAATTTAGATTAAGAGAAAAATCAGTGAAGAAAAAGCTTCAGGAAGAAAGTTTTATTTTTAGCTGGACCTTTGGTTGATGGAAAGTAAAGTGAACGGTGCTCTGGTAATGGAAAATGCCCTAACATATGTAGCATCTTAAAATACTATTTAGAAATTAGTCTGAATGATTTACCACTTTTCTTTTTTTTAAATGTAAAAATTTTAGGAAGCATTATATAGTATTATGGAACAGGTAGTATATGGAAAATATTTGTAGACTTCTAAAGAAGACTAATGTTTTTAAAAAATATTCATTAACCAGGATTTGTCATGAAACTTAGGTTTTATTTATCTAGATTTTTTGATTGAGCTAAAATATAAATGACGTGAGTTAGCATAGCACTGAGTACATCCTGAAACTGAGTTTTGTTTATGAAAAACATTCTCTCTTCTAAAAATATTCATCAGCATTGCTTATGGCCAAAAGGACTTAGAGACGTTTTTGAGGTTCCCTTCCAAGAGAATTGAACATTCTGCAAGTCTTGGAATCTTAAGCAGTTATTAGTTTTGTTTGAATGGGACAAGCAGAAAAAAAAAAAATAGTGTCTTTGGGCAAGAGAGATAGTAGATCTATTGGAGTGCTTGCTTTGCACAGGGCCAACCCAGATTTTACTGGCTTTCCACGTGGTCCCCAAGGTGTTGCCACATGTGGCCCAACCCTTCCTTCCCCAGAATTAGTGCCTCGGGAGTGGAAATGTGTCTCAAATAATTGTGCATATGCTTTGCATGTGTATAGCCCTGGACTCTATACCCAGCACTGCCTGCCCCCTAAGCACCTCTGATAGTAGAGCTGCTGCCTCGAGGTGCCACTGGGAGTGCTCCTGGACCTCCAACACCCTGGGTGTGACTCCTTAACTATTAACAGCAACAAGCAATATCTTCTCTTTTTTAAAAATTTGTTTTTGGGGGCCACCCTCAGCGTGCCTGGCTGTGCACTCAAGAATCACTCCTGGCAGGCTTGGGGAACCACATGATATGTTGGGCATCAAACCTGGGTCAACCCGTTGCAAGGCAAATACCCTGCCCGTTGTTTTCTCTGACCTTCCACGTCTTCTAAAGCGTATTTATTTTTTCCTCTTGAGTACAGACTTTGTTTATGTAAATGTCATCATTAATTTTGGAGATAATTGTTTAAAATAATCTTTCTGACTTTTGATTAGGGTTACTTCATATAGAAACTAACTGATCAAAGGAAATAATGGTGTATCTTTAGAGCTTAAGAAGCTTTGTAAAAATAAAATGTTGTCTGATCTTAGAATTTCATTACTTTCTATATTTCAGTATAGTTAAGGCAATTTTGTTACTAATTTTGTTTTTTAATCACTGTATCACTGTCTTCCTGTTGCCTCGAACAGGCCCCAGTAATGTCTCCTTCGTCCTAGCCCTGAGATTTTAAAAAGTGCCACATTCGAGGCTCTTTCAGGGTCAGGAGAGTGAGACCCATCATTGTTACTGGTTTTTGGCATATTGAATATGCAACGAGAAGTTTTTCAGACTCTGCCGTGTGAACAGGATACTTTTGGTAGCCTGCAAGGTTCTCCAGAGTAACACCTAGATAATAAGATGTCACGTGGCTGTAAATGCGGCCTCTTGCTTCCGGGAGCAGGGTTTTATCGTCTCTGGGTCTTGGCCGTTGATGGGATTACATGGTGCCGGGGGCAGTTGGTGGGTGAAACTCCTACATACTGGAAGATGGGGGACCTGGGTGGAGGAGGCCCCAGTCCCAATCCAAGCAGGCTTGGACATCTACTCCCCGGGTCCCACACACCTAGGTTCCTCGGCCGGTTCCTTCATGTGTGAGGCGCATCCGAACGTGTGGAGAGTAGTCTTAAGCATGGCTGTGGCTGGAACCGGAGGTGTTCAGCTGCTGGGGCTATGCTCAGGGTGGGGAGGGAAACTCAACCCGCCCTCCTTCAAGGGGCCCCGGAGACTCTGCACTGTTCTCTTCTGGGAGCAGGGTTTTATAGTCTCTGGGTCTTGGCCGTTGATGGGATTACAGGATGCCAGGGGCAGTTGGTGGGTGTAACGCCTACATACTGGAAGATGGGTTATTTTTTAAATTATATGAAAATGTGTGATATAAATTATAGGACTAGAATATTCTGTCTGTTAATTGTTACTTTTTTTTCCTAGGGAACAAAGAAGGAAGAGATTGATGGTGAAGTGGAAGTGTCAGGCTTAATCCAGCCTGCAGAAGTGTTTGCTCCCAAAAGCTTGGTGTTGGTATCCAGACTAGATTACCCGGAAATTTTTAGGGTAAAGAACTCATAGTTGTCTATGTTGGTTGTGCCAATCTCTTTTCAGTGAGCCATGGTAGTATGTTTTTTGTACTTAAAAAATTTTTATGTTGATTTAGGAATTTATCAATAAAAAGTTAATAGAGAGGAATTAATATTTGACCATATAGCTGTTTGAGTAAATTGGCTACTAACAATGGCTACTAACAAACACTAATTTTGCAAATTGAAATTTTAATAAAGATTTATAAAGAGTGCATTTTGTCTCATTTTATCACCTACCTTCTTCTGAACTTAAATAATAATCATATTTCTCATTTATAAAATTATAAAATCAGTAATCATATGTCTCATTTATAGGACTTTCTATAAATTGTTTCTTATGTAAAATTCTACATCTGTAAGAACCACTAGGCAAGGTAAAATTTCTCAATTTTTAATCTTCAAAGTTGGGTTTTTCTAAGTAAGTTGAAACAACATTTTAAAACCTTCAAATTTATTAAGTGATTATCTGTAAACAAACACCAGTTTTACAAATTATAGATGTCTGCTTTGTATAAAATCATCTCAAAACCCATTTAGAGTTTCTGGCTCTAGAGGAAAATTTAATAACCTTAAATAACATTTGCTACTTAAACTCTATTCCATGATCCCTGAAGAATATACTTGATAAGGTTCAAAGAGAAATTTTCCTAAGAGCAGATGTTACAACAATTTGCTTTTAGTGTCACTTTTTTTTTTCCATGAAAAAACTGCATGCATCTTTTTCTTTGCAGGCTTGCCTGGGTTTGATCTATACTGTTTACGTGGACAGTCTGAATGTCTCCTTGGAAAGTCTCATTGCAAACCTGTGTGCCTGTCTTGTCCCAGTGTCTGGAGGGTCTCAGGTAAATAGAATTAAAAAGCAGATAAGGAGGGCCTGGTTGTCTTCTTTTGTTCTTCAGTTAATGTCATTTCTAAAGAAAAGAGGGAAAATGAAGTATTCGGAAAAAAATTTAACAAGGGTCTTAGTTCAAGTGTTAGTCCGTCTGGTCTGCCTACTAGTGACCCAAAATTTCATTTTCATCTGAGGCTGTAAGGTTAATTTTAACACAGATTCACCTTTCATGCAGCATAATTCAGTGATATTTTATGTAACAAGCTCTATTTTGCATTTTCTTGGAAGTACACTTTGTAAAGTTGAACTTTCAAGATGTGATATTTCTACATTTCTTACTCTGTACACTGGTTCCTCATTTTGACTTAAACAAAACACTTTTGAGTGATAAAAATTAAGATGAATCATTAAGAAAACTTTCATGCAATTCTTTGTTACATTTGCTACTTATGAATAAATTCATTTGTTTATTCATTTCCTGGATAAAACACTTAATCCTCAGACTATATGTTTTGTGTAATCATTGATAGACTAGCTTATAAATAAGTTTTGAAAGAAGAGAACTATTTTATTTTGCTATCTTTAAGGATAATAATATTGTCCAATGTCCACAATCAAAGATCTTCTTTGTAAATATAAGTTAAATATATTTTTCATGCTATTTTTCTTTCTCCCAGCCTTAATTCATTGGCATAAAAATGTCAACTTTAACATTTTATTGGGCTGGAACCATAGCACAGCAGGTAGAGAGTTTGCCTTGCACGTGGCCGACCCGAGTTTGATTCTTTCACCCCTCTCGGAGAGCCCGGCAAGCTACTGAGAGTGAGTATCTCGCCCGCACGGCAAAGCCTGGCAAGCTACCCGTGATGTATTTGTTATGCCAAACACAGAAACAGTCTCACAATGGAGACGTTACTGGGGCCCACTCGAGCAGATCGATGAGCAGCGGGAGGACAGTGCTACAGTGCTAACATTTTATTATTTCAAAGATAAATATTATTCTTATTGATATTTGTTTCATTGTGACTAAATTTTCAACTTTTAGTTACTGAATTTTCTTATGTTATATTCAGTTGGGCACAAAGTCACTTTCATGTTTTTTCCAACGTGATTGCCCTTTCCATCACTTTAATTAGATCTTATGTGATCATGATCTGCTCTCAAACTCCAAAAGGAATATATTTTAATCCAAAAAAAATATTTGGAGAGTTCAAGAGATAGTATAGAAAGCAAGGTGTTGCCCTATAAATTCTGGCCTGGGTTTAATCCTTGGATCCCCATATGGTTGCACAACTACCAAAGCCAGTAGACAACCTTGAGCATGGCCAGTTGGGCCCTGAAAAAAAAAAGTAAGGAGTGAAAATCAGTGATGAATAAATGGTTACTATAGATTTTTTTTTACACATGCAAGCAAGTACTTTATTATTGAGCCATGTCCCTAGTTCCTAGTTTCTACTAATGTTTTATTATTTTATTTATTTTTATGTAGGAATATTGCTATTCAGCCATTGATTAGGCTGATTGAATTGGTCATGAACTCCACCTTACTTTCTCTTCTTTTTTATAAATTTATTTATTGAATCACCGTGAGAGCAGTTACAAAGCCTTTGGGTTTAAGTCTCAGTCATAAAATGATGAAATACCCATCCCCTCACCAGTGCCCCTTTCCACCACCAAAAACCCCAGTATACCCTCCATCCCACACCCTCCCCCTACCTGTAGGGCAGATGATTTCCATATTACTCTCTCTCTACTTTGATTACATTCAATATTTTGACACCAGACCCACCATTATTATTTGGGATTTTAACAAAACACTCAGATTTGCCAAAAAGGCACCCGTAGACAATTTGTTTTCTATTGCTGGTTATGAATAACATATGATGTTGCATGGCCGCAGTAGTGGCCGCAAGATATTGAAATTCCAAAATTTTGACAATTAAATATGGAGGGATTTCGGCCAAAACCTGCTGGATTCCAAGATTTGTTTCTGAGTCTCTGGGATCATGACCATTAAGCAGCTTGATCAGGAAACGAGGCCGTTCGTGGGTAGCAACTCTGGGTCCCATTCGGGCGGGGAGGAAAGGGCTGGCCCCACCCCATCCTGTGGGGCCTTGTGTGTTTCGTCACTGTAGGCCCAAACCTGACTGGCCTCTGGAAGATGGTGGCCACTGAGCCACTAGGGGAATAGGCCAAGGCACAAAACCTATTCCCCCCTGGGGTGGCCCAGCACTGGTAACCTACTGCAGGGACCGGATGCATTTCTGCCAGAAACCACTGGTTTCCAAGATTTGTTTCTGAGTCTCTGGAATCATGGTCATTAAGCAGCTTGATTAGGAGACAGAGAGGCCATTTGTGGGTGGCGACTTGAGATCTTGTTGGGGCGGGGAAGAAAGGGCAGGCTCCACCCCATCCCGAGACTCCCTTCGTGTCTCATCACTGCAGGCCCAAACCTGTCTGTCCAATGGCCTCTAGAAGATGGTGGCCACCGAGCCACCAAAGGGGAGCAGGCAGAGGGACAGCACCCGTTGCTGGTAACCTACTGCGCGGTTTGAATACATTTCTGCCAAAAGCCGCTGGGTTCCAAGATTCGTCTCTGAGTCTCTGGGATCACGGGTGTTAAGCAGTTTGATCAGGAACCAGAGGCCTTGCCTCCAACTATATAGCTGAGTGGTTTGTGGGTGTGTCTCCCACGTACCTAACTTTTGTTTGTTTACTTTCTTGGTAAACTTGGCCCCAAGTTATTGGGTTTTGGCCAAATGCACAGCAGCAATTTTGGGGTATCTGGGAGTCTGAAAGCACCATCAGGCTGCAGATATACTCGCCTCACAGGTACAGATTTGGTGGCACCATACCCCATTAGAATTTTTTTTTTAAAGAAAGTATTTGAAACATTTGTGTATGTGTGTGTGTGTGTGTGTGTGTGTGTGTGTGTGTGTTTTCTTCCCCTCTGCAGAAGCTGTTTTCCTTGGGTGCAGGAGACAGACAGCTGATCCAGACTCCTCTGCATGACAGTCTTCCTGTCACAGGCACTAGTGTGGCTCTCTTGTTCCAGCAGTTGGGTATGTCTTTTTTCACTTATTTTCAATATCAGCTTATAAAACCCATGAAAAACTATTTAAGGTCACATCACGTGAGATAACTCAAGAAAATAAAAATGAAAACAGTTTAATATCTGATATATAAACTATATAATTATGTGCGACTATGTTAACTAGTAGGGTTTTGTTTTTTTTAATTGTAAATCCAGATCACTTTTACTCTGGAAAAACTAGACCTATTTTCTTTGTGCTTTCAGAGATAAATTTGGTAGTATATTTTGCTTTTCCTTAGATGACTTGCTCACTAGGGACCCTTTCAGATGAAACTAAGTCTTCTCCTTCTCATCCTGTCTCTGTATTAGGACATATTTACGGTTTACTAGTAATGACTAGGTAAAATTTAGAGAAGGATACTAGAAAGTGCCTTTTATAAAATTCTGATAGCTTATTCTTCATGTGGAAAAGAATGCAGCTTGAAGGTGAGGATGTTGCAGACCAGGACTGTCTTCCATTGCTTTATCATACTGTATGCATGTCTACCTGCATGGCAGAGCCTAGCTATCTCCCCGTGGTGTATTTGATGTGCCAAATACAGTAACAATAACAGTAATTCCCCTGACCCTGAAAGAGCCTCCAATATGGCACCATTGGGAGGGATGAGTAAGGAGAGGCTGCTAAAATCCCAGAGTTAGGACAAATGGAGACGTTACTGGCACCCACTCGAGCAAATCAATGAACCATGGGATGACAGTGATACAGAGATACAATGATACATGCCTACAAATGAGTGTTTCCGTCCAATGGATTCAGTTCTCTCTGTTCTCCGTCTGTGTTTTTTACTGGTCATATGGGAACACCTCCCCATCCTTTCCTTAGAACTTATACTCTGCTTCTCTTTAGAATTCTTAGTTTCTTGCACAGAAATTCTACCTTTTTTCTTCCCTCCATTTCATGTTGAATGTCATACTTTTTTCAGCTTTATAATTTGTCATCTTTCTTTGTTAGTGATTCATCTGTATTCTCTAGTTGTGACTCACATCAGTCAAATTTAGAAGCCTTAGAAGACATTTATGTGTGTGTGTGTGTGTGTGTGTGTATGTATGTATGTAAATATAAGCTAGAGTTTTCTAATACCCTAGACAGGATGAATGGTAATCCAACTCCAGAGTCACAGTTCTTCTGCAGCACATCTGCCTCCCCTCAGGAGTTTAGACTCTAAAAAAATTACATTCCTCTTCTTCACTTCTTCACTCCTGAAAGTTACTACTCACTGGGTCATGTGAACTAAATCCTAATTTAATTAAAATTATGTTTGATTCCTAGTATCACATGCTCCCCAAGTGTTGCTGAAAGTGAACCCAAAGCACCAAGCTGGGAGTAATTCCTAGTACTGCCATGTACAGCCTCAAAAACCAAAATAGCCAAAATTCCCCAAAAGTGTGAAGGTATAATTTAATCAATGAGATTTTCTTCAGAGAAGTACCACTGTTGATCAAAGCCAGAGCTCCTGCATGCAGAGCATGTGCTCCAGTCCTTTGAGCTTTCTTCTTGGTGCCTGGGAAATTATTTTAAACAGTTCCTGGACTACCTGTATCCTATCCATGGTCTCTTCTAAACAATTTAATTGATTTTAGCCAAACTCTAATCATATGACTTTTTATTTCTTGAAAGGGCTTACTTTTAGGGTTTACCTCTACTTATAAGATCAGAGCAATAGTACAGCGGGTAGGACGTTTGCCTTGCACGCAGCTGACATAGGATTGATTCCTCTATCCCTCTTGGAGAGCCCAGCAAACTACCAAGAGTATCCTGCCCACATGGCAGAGCCTGGCAAGCTCCCCGTGGTGTATTCAATATGCCAAAAAAACAGTAGCAACAAATCTTAAAATGGAGATGTTACTGGTGCCCGCTCAAGCTAATCGATGAACAACAGGAGGACAGAGCTACAGTGCTACCTCTACTTTAAAAGCAGAGGATTCCAAAATTATTTGGCTGTGTCCTTTCAGGAAAAAAATCACTCATTCTCCCCACCTCCACCCCCCACTGGAAATCTATTTTCTGTATGCAAACAGAAAATGCCCTCCAAATCACCCAAGGCTACTAATACTCCCCTTGAGCATTCTAGTGTTCTGGAGCAGGGGGTGATAATACCCACTTTGCCAAACACTGCTCTGCAGGATCACTTAATTGAACAATTTACCATGAAGAGAGATACAAAGCTATAAAATAAAATAATTTTCCAATTCCAGGTACTATCATTTATCTTGTATTTAATTAGTGCTATATTAAACCTGTCATGTTTTTGAGTTTTCACTATGATTTGTGGAGGAGGAGGGGGGAGGTATTATTACTGACATTTAAGGCCCTGGACTAGGGATATTAAACATTCTTCATGCATCACGTATGTGCATCAGAAGTAATTTTTCTCAAATATCAGTCGTACTCCCACTGAGAAAAATTGCTATGAAGTATAAATTTATAAAATTTATAAATTCTTCTAGTATTAGTAGCTTTTGTAATTCAGACTGACCTTCATAACAAAGTCTATTAGAAAGATATAAAAATATAAACAACATCTGCTTGAAAGCATCAGAGACAATTAAAGAATTTCCTAAAGGGGGTAAGAAAACCTAGAAAAATGAGTCAGGTATTTCAGACCAGTATTTCCTCTGAGGACTGCGTGATTTTGGACTAAACTTGGTCAACAGGTTTTATATGTCTAATGGAGAAGAGGAAAATTGAGTTAGGATGTTACCAAAGGGAGAAGTGACAAAGATATTTAAAATAGTGAGGAAGATAGAATGAAAATTGAGAAATTTGAAAGTGAAAACAGGTAAAATAAAGAAGTCCCACAGAAAGAGCAATTTAATTAAAATATACAAATATAATCAGAAGAATATACCTTGATAAGAATTCCAGTCCAGTTAAAAAGCAGGAGCAATAGCACAGCGGGTAGGGCGTTCGCCTTGCACGCAGCCAACATGGCCGACCCGAGTTCGATTCCTCCGCCCCTCTCAGAGAGCCCGGCAAGCTACTGAGAGTATTCGATATGCCAGACACAGTAACAACAAAGTCTCCAATGGAGACGTTACTGGGCCCGCTCGAGCAAATCGACGATCAGCGGGAGGGCCTTTTACCTTTGGGCTGGAGCGATAGCACAGCGGGTATGGCGTTCGCCTTACAAGCGGCCAACATGGCCGACCCGAGTTCGATTCCTCCGCCCCTCTCGGAGAGCCTGGCAAGCTACCAGAGTATTCGATATGCCAGACACAGTAACAACAAAGTCTCCAATGGAGACGTTACTGGGCCCGCTCGAGCAAATCGACGATCAACGGGAGGGCCTTTACCTTTACCTTTACCTTACTTCTTAATCAAAGGTGACCAGAAGTGAGAACATTGGATTCAGCTCCTGGCACTATAAAACCATAACAACATAAGCAGCAAAAGTGAGAACAACACATTGAAATGGGTAAGAAGAACAATTTTGCTTTACCGAGTCAGTCAGCCTTTCCCCTAAGCCTGCACAGTTTAGTTAAGGAAGTAAAAAATATAGGCAGTATACTTCCTACCCTTGGTTCCTGGTAGATCTTTGGGATTCAGTGCCTACAATAAAGGAAATAAAAGCAAAATAAAGAAAAAAAGCAAAGTAAGGAAATGGCACTACATCAAACTGAAAAGCATTGGCATACCATAAGAAATTATCATAAATGAAGGCCAGGGTGATAGCACAGTAGATAAGGTACTTGACTCAGCTATCACATCTGTGGAAATGATTCAAGAACAGTTATTAGAATATAAGCATATTATGTACTGTAGGCTTGTCAGAGGGGCTGGAGTGATAGCACAGCGGGTAGGGTGTTTGCCTTGCACGCAGCCAACATGGCTGACCCGAGTTCGATTCCTCCGCCCCTCTCGGAGAGCCTGGCAAGCTCCCGAGAGTATCTCGCCCGCCCTGCAGAGCCTGGCAAGCTACCCATGATGCATTCGATATGCCAAACACAGTAATAACAAAGTCTCCAATGGAGACATTACTGGGCCCACTCGAGCAAATCGATGAACAATGGAAGGACAGAAGTTAAATGGACAGAAGGCTTGTCAGAAAACTACCTGTAGTTTTGCCAAATGCTTTAAAAATTCATTTGATTATAGGAAATACAAAAGATAGAGAACACACTGAACTGTTCCAAAAGAGTATAATTGTCAAAACTCAGACTTTCAGAACTGTATTTATCAAATGCTTCAGGTTCTTTAACACATTATAAGGAAAAGAATGGAGGAAGCACCTCAGTATTAAGAGATTTAAAAGACAGGCTGTATTTGAGCATAGGATATGGCTCAGTGTATCAGCATATATCAAGCCCTGGGTTCAGTCCCCTGTGGGCGTGGCATGGGTTGGGGTTTGGGAATGAGGTGGGGAGAGAGAGAGAGAATTCATAAATGGAGGGGACTTCTAGGATTACTTACAATTCATTAAGCCTTACATTTTATTTGTATAATTTTCCATATATGTTTTATCATCACTCTATCACTGTATCACTGTCATCCCATTATTCATCGATTTACTCGAGCGGTCACCAGTAATGTCTTTATTTGTCTCAGCCCTGAGATTTTAGCAGCCTCTCCTTACTCGTCTTTCCCAATGGTGCCGTATTGGAGGTGTTTTCAGGGTCAGGGGAATGAGACCCGTTATTGTTACTGTTTTTAGCATATCGAATATGCCACGGGTCGCTTGCCAGGCTCTGCTGTGTGGGCGGGATACTCTCAGTAACTTGCCAGGCTCTCCAAGAGGTGCATATAATACATATATATATTTCCCTCTATGATTTGTTGTCTACTGTCTGAAGTCCATCACATATGGTATAGTAATTATGGAAAATGGGTAGGGATTGTCTTATGATGTGTCACACAGCCATGCAGTCCAGGAATATCATGTGATAAAATATCATATGATAAAATATTTTAATTGTAAAGTTATTTGTCCTTATTTGGAATTACTGTTTTAGAACAAACCAGACATCTTA